GGCCCCCTTCGCTTTGACCCAAACAGGTCAAAGACCAGCCACAGCGGCTGCAAGACAGCCCTGACCTGTAAAATGCTTCAAAGTGAACATAATTGCTAAGCTCCTTGACATTGGTCACAGCAATTTTTAAAATATATTTTCAAGTGTAGTTGACATTCCATATTATTTTATATTAGTTTCATGTGCACAGCCTGGTGGTCAGACAGAAGGGCATGAGGACAGGGAACAGCAGGGGAGGGGCAGGAGGAGGGAGGAAGGCAGGGGAGCTGCGGAGGAGGGCGCGGGGTCTGAGCAGTATGTCACCCGTGTCCCTCAGTGATGGTTTCTCTGCATGGAAACGTTCTCGGCTCAGAGGCCACGGCGCCAACACCCAGGTCCTGTGCCCTGAGGACTTGGTAGACCATCCTCCTCCTCCTCTTCCCATCAGGCTTTGGGGCAGCCCCTCTGTGCGGTGGTTGACGGTGCCCAGCCCTGCCTGCAGCCCTGGTGGACAACCTAGAGGCTCCCCGGTTTCACCCCCATTTTCCCAGCAGCCCTTGAAGTCATGCCCACAGGTGAGGGGCAGGGCTCTGAGGGGGACCCCCAGGCTTCCTGTGGGAACCATGGTCTGGCCTCAGCATTCATTTTACCCCCTGAAGGCAAAGCGGCTGCCCCCCCCACCTCTTTCCCTTCCCCTACCTGGTGCGGGAGAAGGCTGCTCTGTGGGACCAGGGCAGAGAGCGGGGCTGCGTTTGGACGATGGGCCTCTTTCCTGCCCGCGTTCAGCCACCACGGGGTAGGGACCTAGATTCGTATTTTGTAACTCAGTCTGTTTTTCATCATGCAGTGCATTTGCTCTTAGGAAATGAACACTTCGATGGGGAAATGCAGCGGCAGGAGACTGACCCACATGGCCAAGCTGGGTTTCTGTGCCTTCATCTTCTATTTGATAAGATCATACGCTGACGTGCAGTACCGGTTACTCTGTCTGTTCTTCCTGTCTCTCTCCCTCTGTAAAATCTTGTTTCCTGAAATGTAAGGCCTCACGTTTGTTTGAGTCCCACTGTGGGGAACCGATATAGGGTTGAGCCTCGGACTGACCTGCTGGCAAACTCACAAACAAGTCCTAGCTTAGAGGGCTCAGTCCTCTTAGCATAATTAGGCTTGACCTTATAACACTCCCCAGATCTTACCTGGGAAGCTAATGGGCTGAGGGAAGTGCAGGGAGTGTAACTATGGTCAAAACAGGTGAAACTCACAAGAACTGTGTAACTGTGGTGACCACTGCCTTGTTTACCTCTGACTATAAAAGGTCGTTGCGGCCTGAGCACGGGTGGAAGTCCTTCCTCTTGAGTTGGACTTACCCGCCTGGCCTCCCAATATTCCCAAATTATCTCTTGTCTTTTCTCTTTCATTTGTGTGAACCCTGAACCACGCGGGACGTGGAGGGACACATTTACGACACCTCACCGAGTCAGGTGTGCCACGCGTGGACATGGTTCCCTGGGGTCATAGTGACTGTATGGGCAGCACAGGGATCCCCGTCACCTAGGTCCCTGCTGTAATTAACTAGGCACCTCAAAAGGAGGCCTTTGCTCTGTCTGCACAATTTCAGCTGCAGGTGACACATTTAAATCAGAGGAGAGGGCGGGGAGATGGACTCCGGCCACTGTCTAGCTCTGAGGCTCTGCAGCCGGGCTCTCCCCTGGGTGAATGGACATCAAACTGAAGCTCCCAGGGAGATACCTCTAGGCCAGCTCCCTCAGAGACACCCCCAGGCCAGCTCCCTGGCTACAGCTGCCCACAACAGACACCGCACAGACCCACCAGCTGACAGAGGCAGGCCCTGTGTTCCCATAGACACACATGCTCATAGGCTCACGGTGCCACCAAAGCACAGGACACAGGGATCCTCCAACGTCTCATGGGGATGCAGGGGGCAGGGCCACGGACCTCAGGGGTTGGTTTCCAGGCCCCCTGAGGCACTCCTCTTGGTCTGATGTCTGAAAAGTGCACAGCATTTGAATAGTGTTTGAGAGCCCGCTGGGGAGCTATGAGTGCTGGGGAGCCTCAGGTGCTGGGGAGCTATGGGTGCTGGGGAGCTGTGGGTGCTGGGGAGCTGTGGGTGCTGGGGAGCTATGGGTGCTGGGGAGCTGTGGGTGCTGGGGGGTCTCGGGTGCTGGGGAGCTATGGGTGCTGGGGAGCTGTGGGTGCTGGGGAGCTATGGGTGCTGGGGAGCTGTGGGTGCTGGGGAGCTATGGGTGCTGGGGAGCTGTGGGTGCTGGGGAGCTATGGGTGCTGGGGAGCTGTGGGTGCTGGGGAGCTGTGGGTGCTGGGGAGCTGTGGTGCTGGGGAGCCTCGGGTGCTGGGGAGCTATGGGTGCTGGGGAGCTGTGGGTGCTGGGGAGCTGTGGGTGCTGGGGAGCTGTGGTGCTGGGGAGCCTCGGGTGCTGGGGAGCTATGGGTGCTGGGGAGCTGTGGGTGCTTGCCGGAAGCCGGTCCATCCTTGCTGCTTGACACAGTCGCTGCAGGAAAGAAACATCTGCACAGCATATGTTTCAAGGGACCTGGCGTATATAGCATACTGTTCTTAATATGTTTGCTCCCCTTAGCGCTGTGTGTTTTAACCAAGGTCACCTCTCTGAAAGGTTGTTTCCCCAGGTAGGGATTTTTCCCTGAAGTCAGGGAGGGGATAAAACTCCTTAACTAAGTGCCAGGCGGGTAGTTAATCACTTTAACTACAAACAATCACGCTTAAGCTACATAATCTTTACTCCCTGGAATGGAGATAAGAAACGCCCTACCCTTTGCAATAGAAATTGACAGGATTAAAATCAACTGGTATAAATATGGATGTAACAAGACAATAAACAGCAGAACTTTGCTGGAGATCCAGACCAGAACTTGACTGGAGATCCTGGCTAGAGATCCTGGCTAGGCTGCTGATCAACTGAACGCTGTCTCTGTGTCATTCCTTCTTCACCGACTCCGTCCACACCTTTGGGGACCCCTGGACCTGCTGGGGTTGGACCCCAGCAGGTGCTGGGGAGCCTCGGGTGCTGGGGAGCCTCAGGCTCCTGCCCGTCCCTCCCGCCTCCTCTCCGTCCCTGGTGCAGGTTCTGCTCCTGCTGGGTCTGAGACCTGAAGCCTGAGGGATTCACTCCTGGGATGAGTTAAGGATCAAGGAAAAGAGCTCAATGGAATCACAGAACAACTTTCCCAGTTGCTTTCTATCCAAGTGTGAACCTGACAGACTTCAATGGAGCATGTAAACTGAAGAACTGGGACATAAGGGGTGCTCAGGGCCGCCTCGCAGGATGGCGGGCCACTCGGAGCCCTAAAAGCATGTTTACACGAGACTTTAAAACCCCTTTTTCTCCTGTCTCCCCTTCCTGTCAATATTTTATGAATCAGCTTTTCAAATATTAATTCACAATGCTTGGTCTTCTTAAATTAGCTTACATAAGTGATTTTTGATTTACAAAACAAAAAATTGTTATTTAAAAATATTATTTGGAAATTCCTGAGGGCCTGAATGCAAGTCACGATTATGGGTTTAGAAACTGCCATCATTAGAGACATAAATGCTATTTAGTGCTTTATTAAACATTTTGAGTTGTATCCTCAACGACCACATGTTGAATGTATAAAATGCATACGATTACCTCAAATAGAAACAAATTTCTTGTATTTCATCTACATTTTGACTCACTATTGGAAAATGTGATTACATGACTAGGTTGCTGGATAGCTCATTATTTTTCTTTATTTGGCAAAAGAAGTAGAAGCTGTTGCTAAATTTTTCGGATGATTTCATTGCCCTCAGCAGAAGCTACTGTTAAAACAAATAAGTTTGTCAAATACAGGTGTCAGAATCAGAGAATTCCTCAGAAGAACCTTCGGATTCCACAGGTTTCCAAAAGCCCTGGTTCGCAGTGAAAATCGTCTTAAAGGCGCCACAACATTGCATTCACGTCCCAGCGCTATGTCAGCTCAATCCCAGCATCTAGGCAGCTGCCTGTCCAAAAGCGAGTAAACACGTGGCTCCTGATTCAATGTGGAGCAGGAGGGCTCACCTGAGTCCTCTTCTGCAGCGCGGGGTGCGCGTGAGGGTCCAGGAGGCCCTGGCGCTCAGAGCAAGCGATGGCGACTCGAATGGCCTTACCTTTGCTCCCTCTTCTGCTCCCGGTCGTGCTGGGATCCCTGAGGAGGTGTCTGTGGAGGCCGTCTCCGAGCTCTCTTCACTGGCACCACAGAGGTGTGGGCGCCTGGGCGCAGCAGCTCAGTCTCCATTGGCCTGGCTTCTGCCCACGAGCTCGGGGCTGCTGGGCGCTCACTCCCCCTGGTGCGTTCCGGCCTGGCGCAGGCTCTGCCCTGAGAGCCTTCGGGGATTCTCCCGGAGGAGATGTCGCCCCCGATGGGAGTGGGGCTCCCACAACACAACCCTAAGAAACACTTTGAACTGCTCCTTGGAAAAGTCTGCAGGGCAGGAGCGCGCTCCTACAGGACGCGGGGCAGGACCCAGGACGCCCAGGGCGCTCTCACCCGGAGCCCAGGTGCTGCCCCTCGTGACCGGCGTCTGTGGAGCCGGTGGCTTCTGTGCGCATTAAGCCGAGTGTCCACTCTGCTGGACGTGAACGCGCGTCCTGTGTGTAGCTGCCAGCGCCGCCTCACTGTTGGACACGCAGCAGGGACCACAGGGACCACAGGGACCTGCTTGTCGCTCAGGAACCAGGCTGCTGCCCTTTAACATGATGGACGGTGCTATCCCTGTTGTAGGGCGGTGGCTGTGAAACAAACAAAATGACAAAACCAGGGCGAGCTGAAGTGTCTGAGTGCGGCTCCCTTTGGGCGTTCCCTCCTCTGCAGAGCCCGGGCGGAGCGGGCGGAGCGGGCGGAGGGGGCGGAGGGGGCGGAGGGGGCGGAGGGGGCGGAGGGGGCGGAGGGGGCGGAGGGGGCGGAGGGGGCGGAGGGGGCGGAGCGCAGGACGTCCCTCTCAGCCTCGCTGCCTGCGCTGGGGACGGAACCTGTGGGCTCTCCGTGAGCGAGGCTGGAGCCACAGGCTTTTCCTCTGTGCCTGATCGTCTTTCCACAAGGATGAGGCCTTGACTACTAATCAACTTTCCGGAAAGGTTGGACATTTTAACTCTGTCACACCCTGACGATCAGCAGGAACCACAGGGACCCTTCCCCACGGCTTGGGCGACCCTGCGCATCTCAGGACGCCTCCTACCAGGTGACAGCACCTGTGTGCAGGCATCCGTCCCAGCAGCGGGACCTGAATGTTTCCAGCCGCTGTGCTTCCTGTGGGAACGTGTGACCTGCGTCCCGGGAAGCCTGCTGAAGGAGGAGCCTGGCTGCGTTTCCCCTTGTTCCCCGGGGAAGAGCACGCAGTCTGGGTAGGTGTGGATCTCAGCCCTTGCTCGGTTCATTTATTTTATTTTCCTGACCTTTCAGTGACAGTGGACATACAATATTATACTAGTTTCAGGAGCCCAGTGATTAGGCATCATGTATCTTACTAAGTGGTCACCCAGATGAATCTCCACCCACCTGGCCCACGGGCAGTGGCCACAGCATCACCGACTGCATTCCCTGTGCTGTTCTTATAACTGCCATTTGTACTTCTCAGTCCCTCAACTTAATCCCTTAACCCAGCCCCAGAGCTCCTCCCTGGCAACCATCAGTTTGTTGTCTATCTACTAGTTTGTTTCTGGTTAGCTTTGTTTTTCAGATTCAACATATAAGTGAAGCCATATGGTATTTGTCTTTCTCTGTCTGACTAGTTCGCTCAGCATCATGCCCTCGAGGCCCATCCGTGCCGTCGCAGATGGCGAGATGTTATTCCTTCTGACGCTGCCACACTCCATGGTGTGCACATACCACATGCTCTTATCCAGCTGGCTGCTGGCGGGCGTTGCCATCTCTGTAACTGGATGAAGCTTGCCTCCTCTCAATCGGCTCCATCACATATGAAATGAGGACACCCCAATCCCCACAGGAGCATCTGAGGATGAACTGAACTAATGCTGACTGCACCCAGCACAGGACTAGACTTGCACTACTGTGAGGATTTCCCTCTTTGGGGGAAGGATGCGTCTGGGCCTACGCATCATTGCCTGGGTCCTAATACCAGGAAATGAGCGGCCAGGGGTCAGCTCTCTCCCGAAGTTGAACTGACAGGTGATACTGAGCAAGTGCACAGGAAGCCCCCACTGGGGGGAGCTGGCGACAAGAGCCACTTGGTCCCGGCCACTGTGCATGAGGACCCGCGGGAGCTCAGTGCCAGCGCTGCCTTCCCACATGCCTCCCTGCGCCTGGCAGAGCTGCGTGCTGTGCTCCGTAGGGCCCTCTCAGTGTCTGATGTTTACTCCCATTGCATGCCCATTGTTGCATGCCTACTGTTTCAAGCCCACTGTTGCATGGTCACTGTTGCATGCCTACTGTAACAATTATGCTGAAATCCAGTTGTGCACCTGACTGTGGGCATGGTCACCAACCAGATGTGTCCTCATGTCGTCAGGACAAGGTTTCGAGGTCGCCCCTTACATGGGTGCCACACAGACACAGCGCTCCCCCATCAGAGAGTCAGGAGGCGGCTGTGCGGGAGGCCTGGGAGGCAGCATCTCTGATCCACCAGCCTCTGAGGCAGGTCCCGACGCTGGCCTTGGGAAGATGCGGAATGCAAAGGGCAAGGAAAGGGCGCTGACGGGAGAGTAAAAGCAAAACTAGAAACCCACTGGGAGCCACTTTCCTCAGCAGCGCGCTGAGCTGCTGGCTCACCAGGCCCGACCGAAAGCCAAGTCCGCGTGGACGACATCAGCTCCACAGGGGCGTCTTGTCCACCAACCGGAAGCTGCTTCCTCTCAGGCCCACAGGGAAGGCCGCTGAGCAGCAAGGCCGGTCACAGACCCAGGACAGGCCTGCGGTAAGGCCAAGGGGGTGCTCGTTGTGCTATTCTCTGCTTCTCTGAAAGTGTAACTAAAGGCCGCATTTACATGAGCCAGATGGATATTTTTGATGCAGATACATTATCAAAAGTGGGTGGAGAGGCACCGTCGGCCACGTGGATGGCAGCCAGCACTCACCGAGCCCGTCGTGGCCACGCCCTCCCCGGGGGGGGGGGGGGGTGATTCTTGCTCCTGGTGTCTGGCCCGATGTCCTGAGCCCAGTTCAGGCCGGCGTGAGAGCCTCGGGCTTAGGGTGTCGTGGAAGCGGAGGAACTGGCCACTGTCGGCTCATGACAGGACTTCGCTGTATTCACCTGATGGGCCGACACCATTGGAGAGGAAGCGATTACAGGTAAAGGAGGGGAAGGCAGCCTTTGCAATAACCGTCAGTATTCCTCCCAGGACAATGCCAGCCTCACCCATGTCCATCTCATGTGCATGTGCCGGTGACTCTGCTATGGTTCGACCAACTAGGCCTTTATCTGTCTCTCCACACAGCCTCCCACTCTGGCCGCCTCCTGTGTAGGCCCCTTCGCGCTGCACCTGCAATGGTGGTGCCGCGGGGCAGGTGTGCTCACCGCTGGCAGAGGCCATGGCCCGGACCCTGCGCCGGCCCGAGGAGAATTCTGTGATGCGGTCAGCTCTCTGACCAGTTCATTTCCTAAGCACTGAGCCTAGAACTTGGCTTTCCTAGTTCTGTTGTGTGTTTTCTGAAAGAAATTATGTAGGAAACAGAAGTATGCTGGTATTTAAATGTTGTTGAGTTTTGCTTTGGGCTGAGCACAGGAGGGAACGTGAAATGCAGAGGTCGGTCTCGAGAAGAGGTTGCGCACAGTAGGGCCATTGGGGGCACTGTGGGTGTTCACAGGAACAGGTGCGTGTGAGGGAGTGGCAAAGCAGGACTCAGAGGTGGGAAATGTTTTGTGAGAAGTGACTGGATCAGTTATGCAGCGAGTTCATTAAAAGCATGAGATTCCAAGCCAGTAGCCGGTCCGGGCTGGGCACCACGCCCCTGGTGTGCTAGCCTGGGTGACAGTCGGTGACTTTCACTTACAATCCACAGGACCCGGTGCAGGGACAGAGCAGGCGGATGGCAACGCGACCGCAGAAGAGCCACATACAAAGGGTTTAAAGGCTAGAGGATATTAGGGTCCCATCTGAATGATCACTACATTTGATAATTTTATTATATTTTTCTCAAATTTTGATAAAATGGCTCACCTAAAAGTTATCAGATAAAATTTGCTGGGGCAGCTAGAAAAAATTCCGACGGAGCACTAGTTTTGAACAATATCAAAGTGGATTGTGATATCATGATCTTGGAAACGCTTGGTAGCAAGGTGACTGCAGTTAACATTACCACAGTGTATATTGGAAAGTTGCCGAGAGAATACATCTTAAAAGTTCTCATCATGAGAAAAAAATTGTAACTATGTGTGGTGATGGGTTGCAACTAGATTTACTGTGGTGATCATTTCATAATATATATAAATATCAAATCATCATATTGTACACCTGAAACTAATATGATGTTATACGTCTGTTACACTTCAATTTTTTCAAGTTTGATATTGGCATAATCATAGAAGATAATAAAAGAGTAAAATAACCCCAAAAAGAGCATTGGCGCATTCTAAATCATTTAACATGTGACTTGGGCACATCAAAGACAGTACAGAATAGAAAAATATTATTCAATAATTCGAATTGGAACAGTTGGGTTTGTTGTTTGAATTGTTTACCAGTGTTATGCACTATATATACATATATATATTTAAATCAAGTACTTCTATTAAGGCTTTTTATACTGAACGATTATCTTCTGCAGCCAGTTCCCCACCTTATTCTACTTTCTAAATGGTTATCATTTTCAAATCTTTTAGCTCCTTTTTTTGGTATGTTTACATTTAAAATATATTGAGTACAATCTCGCTTACCACTTTAGAATTTTCTTTAGGAAGTAATTTCCAAGAATGGGATACAAAACAACGAAATAACACACAAACACAATCTAATTAACCCAAATACTTCTGCTATCTATTCACAGACAGCCTATTAAGCAGGAAACGGATTCACTCTCACCGACAGCACAGCCCAGTCTCACTCACCCCAACCAGCACCACTAACATGGAAACTTTTAAAGCCTGCGGTAAGTTGATAGGCTTAAAACATATTTTTTGCTCTTAATTTGTAAGACTTGATTTAACTTTGGTTTAAAAGAATATCATTATAAATACATCACTTAGATGTGTAAGGATAGACTCAGCTATAATTCTGCTCTGTGAATAGCCTGATGATATGCTTCAATCATGTATCCACTTCAATTTTAATAGTTATGCAATTTCTACAAACCCATATTAACATAACATTTTGTCAATTTTTTTAAAAGTGTGCTTGATTTTTATTTGAGAATGTTTTCACATGAAAGGATTACATTTATACACCACTTCTTAATTCTATAACAAATTTTAGGCATTGAGAGCCCTTCAGGAATACACTAACTATTCCTATTTTACTCGATATGGTTTTATTTGCTGATTTTAAATCTCTAAAATCTGCCTGGCATTTGTCTTGTATGAGGTGATGATCCTTTCTGTGAAATTCTAATTAATTGCAGTTCAGTTAAGAGTCAAATCTGCACAGCCCTCCTGACACCCTCCCAAATGCTAGCAAAGGGATAAAATGTTATAAACCCACAACAACAAGGGGAGGGAAGAAGACGTTTGGAATCCAGAAAGCCAAAGCCATCAGCTAATTAAATGCGCAGATTTGAAACGCTGGAGCCCAGACATGCAACTGAGGAACCTGAGATGTGACCTCACTCTTGTTTCAGGCCCAAGGAGTGTGGGTGGCTGGAGCTGGGCTGGGCACTCATGGGGCAGAGATGCCCACATGGAACTCACCCCAGGAGACTCTCCGTGGTGCACGTGGTGCCTGGGCTATCGGACAAGCTACTTTGTACCCTGTGGCTGTGTACATGAAACTAACACAAAATAGTGTTGAATAAAAGTGTAATAAAAAATAAAACAAGGAAATAAGAATCTATACTAATAAAAGGGTAATATGCTAATTAGGCTGGATAGACTGGATGTCTTCCAGACATCCTTCCAGACAAAGCCATGGTGGCAGGGGCCGAGGCAGAGGTGGTTAGGGGCGATCAGGCAGGCAGGGGAGCAGTTAGGGGCATCAGGCAGGCAGGCAGAGAGGTTAGGGGCAATCAGGCAGGCAAGGGAGCAGTTAGGGGCATCAGGAAGGAATGCAGAGTGGTTAGGGGCAATGAGGCAGGCATGCAGAGTGGTTAGAGATGATCAGGCAGGCAGGCAGGTGAGCAGTTAGGAATCAGAGGTTCCAGTTTGTGAGAGGGATGTCCGACTGCTGGTTTAGGCCCAATTCAGGGCCTAAACCAGCAGTCGGACATCCCCCGAGGGGTCCCGGATTGGAGAGGGTGCAGGCTGGGCTGAGGGATCACCCCTGCATGAATTCTGTGCACTGGGCCTCTAGTCTATACTAATAATAGCCTAGGTGGTGTCATGCCCTCAAGTCATCACAAGATGGCCATCACAAGGTGGCCATGCAAAGCAGAGGTGGGCCTTGGCAGCCACTCCATGTGGTGAGGCCTGGGGTCCCACGGCTCTGCACAGCGCTGAGGAGGCTGGTCCCGGGGTCTCTGCTGCCTCACACGGAGGTGGCAGGTTCTGGCAGAGGAGGTGGGTTGGGGCAGGGGAGGGCAGTGGTAGGTGATCAGGCCAGCAGGGGAGGGCAGTTGGGGGCCATCAGGTCAGCAGGGGAGGGCAGGCCGGGCTGAGGGACACCTTCCCACCCCCCCCCCGACCCCGTGCATGAATTTCATGCACTGGGTCTCTAGTATATATATAAAAACCTTAGCAAACCATTATGATGGAATGACTGGAATGACCGATTGCTATGACACACACTGAACACCAGGGGGCAGATGCTCAATCCAGGAGCTGCCCCCTGGTGGTCAGTGCACTCCCACAGAGGGAGCGCTGTTCATCCAGAAGCCGGGCTCACAGCTGGCAAGTGCAGTGGTGGTGGCGGGAGCCTCTCCCACCTCTGAGGCAGGGCTAAGGAGCTAAGAAGTGAGTGGTGAGCAGTTAGGAGTGAGTGGAGAGTGGTTAGGAGCTCCACGCGCCGAGCCTAGCTTGGCTCCTCCCCAGCAGCCTGCCGCCCATTTTGGTTCGATCCCCACAGGCCTGATTGGGCTGAAACCGGCAGTCTGACATCCCCCAAGGAGTCCCAGATTTCGAGAGGGCGCAGTCCAGGCTGAGGGACCTCAACTGGTGTACAAATCTGTGCACTGGGCCTCTAGTGATTCAAATAAATGAAAGATGATCATATTTTACTCAGTTTTTATTAGAAAATTTTTCTGATACATTTACATAAAATTTGAATTGTTACTATAATAATTGTCATTTTTGAAAAGTGAAAAAAGTAAAAGCTCCATCTAGGAAGTAATTAGAATTCCCGAACCTTGACTAAGGGTCCCCTGGGATGGCATTTTCCTCGGTGCAGGGGTTGGAGGAATCTGTCCTGGGCTCAGGGACAGAGCTGGGGGCAGACAGGACCCTCATGAGAACACGGAGCTCATTCATCAGGTCCCAGAGAAACGAGCCCACAGCAGTGTGTCTGTGAACCTCACCCAGGAGATTACGGTCGGGGTCCCCCCCTTACAGAGATGGAGACGGAGTCCTGAGATCTGGTCAACAAGGCGGGGACCCGGGAGAGCTGGCGGGTTAGCTCCCGGCCCAGGGCCCAGTCCGAGTGCAGGAGGGACCAAGCCCCAGCGGGCAGGGAGCACGCGGTCTCCCTCCGGCCACAACTCAAATGAGAACCACCCAGAGCATCCTAGAGGCCCAGCCAGGGCGATGGGGAAGCAGCGTCTGGGCACCTGGTGGCCAGGCCAGGAGACACAGGGACACACCATCCTCCTAAATGGAGGCAGCAGGCCCTGGCCTCTCTGCAGGGCACAGTCCTTGCACCTGCGGCGGGAAGTAGGGGCCGCTGAGCAGCCCAGGAAGCCTCCAGAGTACAGAGGAGACGGAAGCAGAGAGGGATTGTGAAGACACTGAGCTGAACTTCAGCAGGTTGTTTAGCCTCATAGAAGCGGATCTTGTGACAAGTGACTCTCGTTCCGATGACGCTAAGCCTGGCGAGGGAGGAAGTGTAGATAAGGTGACGGCGAATGCAGCACAAGTGGGAGGCAGGCGAGTGGTGAGGAGTCCCCATAGAAATTACTTAATTTAATAATTAACACTGGAGGAACTGGGGACCATGGGGTCTGTGAGCTGCAGAAATGGGTTCAGAAATAAGAACATGGAGGGCCAGGGACTGGAGGTGAGGGGGGCGGGGTGGGAGGGAGACCTGGGGGGTGGCCTCAGAGTGCAGAGGGGGCAGGAGAAACAGGAGGCTGGCTGGATGGGGCTGTTTATCGACAGGCACAGTGGCCTGAGGCTCAGGGGCCTCCCTCCCTCAGGGTGAGCTGGAGGCCCAGCCCGTTCCCTTGAGGGTGAGAGGCTCATTCTCAGCATAGATGTGTGTCCTGCCGCCCTGTCGCTCCCCCGCTGCCGAGCAGGGCGGGACTGTTTGAGATGGAGAACGTCTGCTATCCAGGTGGCCTGCCCTAAGTTTAGTAATTTTATGTCGGGTTGAAGAATCAAAACATAAGCCCATCGCCTGTCTATATTAGTGATTAGAAGTCCGATGCTGAGTTTACTCAGTGCTCAGGGTGAACATTCTGGGTTCCTGTCACCGCTCACCTTTCTGAACCCCTAGAAGAGGGGAAATAGCATATTCTGTAACATTGGAGGAGAAAAAACTGGCCTTTTCCCTTTCAGTTCAGTCATCACACCTGTTCGGAGGGAAAACAGTCCGATTCCAGGCACTGGGCTGACACCCCCCCTCCCCCAGTCCATGTCCCTAAGGTCCGTGTGGTGAGCTGCCCCAGAACCTGCCTTCACAGTGGAACTTCACACGCTTCATCGATTAAACTAAGACACTTTGCCACCCTTCATGTGCATTTTCAAGTCAGAAATGTTAAATACAAAACATGCACCTCTGAACTGGTGAAAAGGCGGCTGAGGTGCTGTGGAGTGGACTGGAGGGAGCGCCGGCGGGGCTGGCGGGAGCACCGGGGGGCCGACGGAGGTCATGCCCTCTGGGCACCTCAAATCCTGTCAGAGACGGCCTGTGTGTCCCTTCTCTGAAGTGGCGTTTCAGATTAAAGCCGTGTGCTTTAAAGCCAGTTGCACGTTGATCATATCTCCACTGGTAACTCTGGTGGAGAGATTTCACAATAGGAACAAAAGTTCACAGCGTATCTCCAATTGCCTCTTTGGTGTCTTGTCCATTTGAAGGAAGATTTCTTTCCGGTTTTATAAAAGCTGATTTTAAAATGAAGGGACAGGCTTTTATTTGGATACTGTTTCGAGACTGCCCTTGAACTAACACGTTCCCTGTCATTCAACATCAAGTCAGACTTCACAATCATAATTTCCTCCGAAATGAAGTGTGGGGACCTTGTGACTATGTAAGAATTACTCAATACAAGCTCTCAGCTTTGAAAAACACCCTGTCCCTCCACCTGCCAGTTTCCATTCTTCAGAGACCCCAGCTCACCCGCCCGCTTCCCTCCTGCTGAGGGGCAGGGCCCGCCATCCATGGTCCCTTCCTGTGCAGGCCCTGGGCGCCGGCCCCTCTCACCAGCCCGCCAACCAGCGCATTGTTGCGGATGTGTGTCCGTCACACATCTCTATCGCCTCCTCTCTATAAAACCACACACCTGCGGTGCCTGGTCCCTGAGTGGGAAGCTGTCAGATTGGCCTCCCTCTCAGGTGAGTCACCTGAGGCGCCCTGGCTGCACCGCGGCTCTGCAGGTGCTGGCTGAGCGCCAGGACCGTGAGATGGTGGGATACAAAGACGACCACCACGAACCCGCACAGAGCGCCCCATCGGGAGGAGGTAAATGGAAGGCTTCCTGCTTAATGCCATCTGCTATCTGCACAGGAGGGGTCAGGGCCCGCTGGCCACGCCACCCAGGAACCTTGCGGAGAGACGGGTGACCCCGAGGCTGCCTAGGCGAGTGGACATTCTCCAGAAAGGCAGCTGGATTCAGGGTGGAGGCAGCCGGTTTCAGGGCGGAGGGAGGCACAGGGAAGTCCAGGTGGAGTTGAAATCTGTGCAGAGATGTGGCAGGACAGGGCCTGGGGAAGTGTCTGCTGACACCGGCCTGGGCCAGTGTTGAGAAAAGGGTGGCACGTGCTGGTGCCGTGGGAGAGAAGGAGGTGAGCAGCTGGCCATGGGCCTCTCGGTGCATTTGCAGCTACAACCCTGAAGGGCGTTGTGCAGACTTGCAATTCAACCTAGAGGAAGAGTCATCGGAAGGGAAGTTAGGGTGAGACCAGTTAGGACATTATTCCGGTAAAACCAGGGAGTGCGGTGTGAACTGCAGCCCTACGCAGGAGTGGGAGGGAGGGGGGCGGGAACAGAGCAACCCCTTCTGTTCTGAGTGTCTGTGGAAGGCAGAAGCAAGGGAGAGAGGCGCCCAGGTCACGGATTTTAGGAGAAGCTGCCGACAGGCCTGGGTTAGACACTCAGCACCGATTTCTCAGGATGGGTCCCTGTGGGCGGCAGCCACGTGTGCTCGGGGCAGTGCTGCCCTGGACACTCGCAGGTGCCAGGGGACGGCAGGGCAGGGCGCAGGGCGGGCAGCGGGAGCTCAGGCTGCGCCTCGGCCTGAGGAAACCTCCCAGTGTGGGAGCAGTAGCTCTGGCTGAGGGCCAGACAGCTACCTGCCAGGCCTGCAGGCACCAAGTACTGACACTGAGAACGGGCAGCGGCCCCGCCCGAGGCAGTGGCTGTAACGCGCCAGGAGTGTCATGGAAACACCAGGGACTGGATCTGAATTTTACAATCCAAGATCTCAGGAAAATTACAGCTCCGCACAGTGCATCCATTTCCAGCCAGCTCACAGTGTGCCTTCCAGGCCT